AAACGTCGACATACCGCTTCTGCTTTGTAAATGCAAACTGAAGTGTACAAATGAATCCAATGCATGCAAACAACAGAATAAGACTGATCATCAAGGCAAAAACTGCGTCAAACGTAGATTCAATCGTGATTGGGCTCCATACCGTCGCCTGACTCAAGGCTTCAGTGGAATCACCATTCTCCCATGCCAAATTTCCGTGAACCAAGCCGCTCACGATTCCAATACGTAGCACCTTCTTTGCCAATGTCATGCCGCGAGAACCTGGAATCCCAAATTCATCTTTCACCTCAACCTGAATCCTTCTGATGGCGTTCTTCACCTCCAGGCGTCTTTCCTCCTCAGCAGCTTCTGCAGCTCCAATCGGGCTGCCTTCTTCGTCACAGAAAAGTAGAAAATTTACGCGCGTCCGGCTGAGCGCTTTAGTTCCATGTCAGCTATGTTATACACAGTCGAAATGGCTTTGCAACCACAACATCTTACCGTCCAAGTGCTTGATACGCCCAACACCTGACTTCGCAATAATACCTCTGGCGGCTGCTGAATCACACAAGAGTCTCAAATAGACCTTTTCATCCGGGAGCAAACCTGCCAAGATATTACGAATGTACAGAGCATCGCACATGGTAGACGTTGCTGCGTTGAACTCCGCGTCGGCAACGAAATCGAACGTTGTGTCCTAGAAGAACTTGACACAATCAAGCCGTCCAGCATGATTGCTGCCGCTGACACACTTCTCCGTGTCATTTTGCGCGAGGACCAATCCGAGTCAGTGTTTTTTTTACTCTTGAAGACGCACACCCTCTTGTGACGCACGCCAGTTCGTGTCGATGCCGATGGTTAAAAAAAACACTGACTCGGATTGGTCCTCGTGCAAAATGACACGGAGAAGCAGCAATCATGCTGGACAGCTTGATTGTGTCAAGTTCTTCTAGGACACAACGTTCGATTTCGTTGCCGACTGCAGAAGCGGAGCAACGTCCACCATGTATGTGCGATGCTTTGTACATTCGTAATATCTTGGCAGGTTTGCTCCCGGATGAAAAGGTCTGTTTGAGGCAAGCAAAAGTTCGCCCTGTGGCGAGAATCCTGCAAAACCACGACCAACCTGAGGTCGCTCATACACTATTGGGTTCTTCAGTGTCTTCATATCTCCGATGCACGGAGATGACTGCGCCAATGATATCCCCAGATATAAAAGGATACCAACGCACTGCCTGAAAATCACAGCTTCCTCCCACGGCAGTGGTGGGGTCTCCTCGTCACAAGGTAGATTCCCAAGGGGGGGAATTTCCGGAAGTAGCACATGCTTTCTCTTGAGAAACGAAATCTCGTCTCCTTCATGTCCAAGAAATTCCACGTGAAATTCGTACTTCTTTCTCTCTCAGTACTGCAAGCATGTTGCACTGCTTCATTCAGGAAATCCAGCCATCAATAAGTCCTCAACAGGCACATTGAAAATTAAATCTCGGACTCTGAAAGAAAGTAGAAGCTTCTGCTGCGCTTTGATGCAAGTATCCAACCACTGCCTTGTTTGTCTGATCCGTTGTGGCCGTGCTGTGGCCGGGCTGAACAACGCATCTTGCTGAGTCCAACCAAGCAAATTCACAAGCCACCAACCGTGCTCTGCGCGACAGTCTTCATGGATTTCGAATCACAAAACTATCGCAACAGTAGTAAGGAAAGGCAGCTTATACCAACCAATTAATTTGGGATTTTTGGCCAAAAAACCCGCCAAAACTGCATAATTTTCAACCAGCTGAACTCGTCACCAGCGATGTCACCGCTTCGTCACCGCTCCGTTTTTGTGCAAAAAGCGCTCAAAACGGCCAACTCCGAAAAGTTCGTTTTTCGTGTCAGACGTCAAATGTGGTGCCTGGGCCTCCAACTTCGCTCGTTTTCGGTCGAAATCGGGCTCCAGACATTCGCCGCGATTCCGTTTTTTTGCCCGGAAAAGCAGGCAAATTCCAGAGCCTCGGGCCAGGCCTGGAGATGCCCCACACAATGTGGTCCCAGCGGCAGACGCGTACCAGCCGGGCCCCACGTACGGTAACAAATTCAGGCAGGAGTGCCTCGCGTCGCAGCAACCCTCCACAAAGCCCAGGTTCGGCAGCACGCCGTCCACGGGCTCAACCCGTTGGCCGGGCACAGGATCGGCAGGGGGAAGGGAGCGTTGGCCAGCCCGTTGCGCCTGCAGCGCACCACGTCCACCACGACACGCCTGCGCCTCAAAGACAAGGGGGGGCAGCTTGGGGCTCCGGGCGTGCTCCATGACGCCGGGCGCCACGCGGCTCTCCAGGCTGGTGGGCGCACAGCGCCTGCAGAGTTTGCACGCCCGCAAAGGCTGCCGCACCGGCACCACGTGGTCCAGCTCGCAGGCGCCGGCGCCGCACAGAGCGCACTTGCCGCCCTGCCCGGCCAGGGTCTTCTGCCTCTCCGCCGCGCTGGGCACCTCTCGCTTCGCCTTAGCAGCTTCAGGAAGATCCCACCTCCGCAGCACCTCGTGCTCCTCCGGCCGCTCTTGGATTCTTCTGCCCGCCTCAGCCTTAGCCCGCAGTACTGCGCGGGCTGCTGATGGCCACCTGCCGACGGCCATAAGCTGGCGCCGCGCCTTGCGCAGGTCCTTGCACCAGAACAGCCCCGGCCCACCTTACGGAGGAGCAGGTGGCGCAGCGGGTGAAACAACAAGTGGAGGCCTCGCTCACGGGCCCAATTCTGCAGCTCTCGGACAAGACCTACTTCCTCGCTGGGTGGTCAGCACCCAGAGCACGCAGTATTCGAACTCCAGGACCAAGGTGGAGACGCTTCTGCGCAGCGCATAAAGGGCCTGAGAAGCGTGAGCTTCCAGCTGCCCTGCGAGGAGGCGTGCTGCCAAGCGCCTTCGAGGACAAGCCGCTCTCGTGCCCCGGCAGCTGGCCAAGCTGCAGCTGAGCGTGGAGGAGGTGTGCGCCGACTGCAGAGCGACCTTGTGAACAGCTACAACCCGGCTGAAGGAGCACCGCACCGTGTGCTTCTTGGCCTTTGACGGGCACTGCTACATGTACAGGGCCGTAAAGCAAGTGCTGGAGCGGCAGGCGGCGCGCGTGCTCTGCCGGGACGAGAGAGTGGAGGCGCTTTGACGCCGCGGACGTGCAGCTTGTCATGGCGCCGCCCAGCTTGTTCACCGGCAGCCAGTTCTGCGCTCGTAGCCCGCCCCCGCGTTCCGCCCGCTGCGCCGCCTGCCCCGGATGACACAGGCACGTGGACCAGGTACTTGTAGCACTTGTTGCGGAAGAAGCCCTTGCCCAGCTAGAGTAATACCATTTTTCAGCGCAAAACCACGCGAAGCAGGCTATTCTCCCCGGCCATACCTGCGCGTATGGCCTGGGAGAATAGGAATCGGAAGACAAAAACCGTGTAAAAAAATATTCTCCCCGACCATCGGCGCGTATGGTCGGGGTGAATGCGCGGCCGAGCAAAAAAAACCGGACCGTAAAAAAAGAATGGCAAGTTGGGCGAGACAACGACAACAGATCACGGCGGCGCCGGGCTTGCACGGGGGCGGATGGAGCCGTCGTGCTGAACTTGCGGCGCGGACCGGGGGCCTACGCGCTGCTCTCGCGCGCGGACGGGCAGCTGACCCGGGCGGGCCAGCACTACTCTCAACTACTCTCACCTGGGCCTGCGGCCCCCCAGCAGGGACTTCGACTACAACCAGCCCCATCCGCGAGGGCCCCAACGATTAAAGCTTGTGCCTCCTTGCAGCGGAGAGCACCGGCTGACCAAGCATATCTATATACGGGCCGGAGTAATAGCTCGTTTTGCCGTTTTTTGCATGGCATGACACGATTTGTTGCTTGATTTTGCTTGGAATCGGCATGTGGTTCACCCCAAACAGCCCTCCCCCCACAGTTTTTTTCCTGTCAGGCTGCCGTGTGTGAGGTCGGACATCCTGGCAAGGCGCAACTCCGCGGGCCTGGCGCTGGGGGGTGGTTTTTTTTGGGCAGTGCCGAGCGGGCACTTGTAGGTAGATGTGCCGAGCAGGCACTTGCAGGTAGATGTGCCAAGCAGGCACTTAGGAGTGCCGAGCAGGCACTTAGGAGTGCCGAACAGGCACAGTGCCGAACAGGCACTTGTAGGTAGATGTGCCAAGCAGGCACTTGTAGTGTCTGGCCCCGGGTTTGGCTTAGTACTGGTCTGCCCAACGGGTCAGTCAGATGAAGGGGGTCGGAGCTCGGAGTTTTTTTGGCCCTTGTAGGAACCTATAGGAACCTATAAGGGCCCCGCCGCCCAACCCGTTGAAACTGGCCCGCCCAACCTGCGCTTGATACTGGCTCCTATAAGGGCCCCGCCGCCCAACCCGTTCAGGTTTGATACTGGCCCGCCCAACGGGTTGCCTTGTTTTCATCCGTTTTTTTCGCAGACCGAAGATGATACTGAGGGTGTGACAGGTGATGCGGGGACGCCGGCCTGGAGGCATATTTTTTTGTTACTGGTTCGCCCAACGGGTCTGGAGGGGTTTCGGACTATTTTTTTTAAACACCTTCGATTTTGGAGGTGGGATTGAGAGTTCTTCTGAAAAAAAGCTCCTTTGACAGCTTTTCATGAACATGAATGCTGGGTAGGTGAGGCTGCACACTGTTGGTAAGGTCCTGGCAAGGCTTCTCAGCTGACATGTCTAGAACAAATCCGCTGGAGCAGCACGTGCGATGTGAAACTCATGCAGGGCTCGTGTGCAAGGATGCCGCGCGTACACTGCAGTGAATCAATCCGCGCACAAGCTCCCCAAACCGTTTTTTGCCACACAGCGGTCCCGGTCTGTGCCTGTTCGTGGGTCCAGCCCGTTTTGGCCCTCCGACACATCTCAAATGTTCTCTTCAACCAGACAAACAGCAAAATAAATCACAGGGGGCCAGCAAGGCGGACGTACTTGCGCGTGCTGTTCAACATCAAGCGCTCGGTGGTGCCATATGGCACTTTGGTTGCGCACAGTGCATCAAGCGACTGGGCGAAAGCAGTCGCGCTCAGCTTCTCCTCCGGCAGTTGGGCGTGTACTGGTTCAGCGCCGCCACCAGCTTGACCTTTGGCGTGGCCTCCTTGCCAATGCATTGCTGCGTGCTTTCATTGAGAAACATCTGCATGAACTCAGTGTACTCGCTGTTCAGCAAGATCTGGCTGGCCCTCTTGATGACGGCCGGTTGCCGCTCCAGGCGGCCACCGTCACCCATGCAGAATGCCTGGAAGGCTGCAGTGGCCACGTGAATCATTCCCGCCTTCATCTCCACGGTGTAGAAAGCCCGGCTCTTGAGGTCCTCCTGGCTGCAAGGCCGCTGGAATGGCCCAACCGGCGCCAACTTGAAGGAGACCGGCCACGAGCAGCCGATGAACCGGCGCCTCACCCCGGAATCGATGCTGGTGAAGTTGATCTTCAGGTTGGTGGACAGCGCAAACAGGGCAGGGATCCTGAACTCGTGTTCCTGCTTGTAAAGGGTGCGGGCAACCCAGCGGGTGCTCTGGTCTGCCAGCAGCTTCACCCAGATGCTTTTGATGGCAATGGACTTCTCGGATTCCGGGGCGCCCAGAAAGCGGGCGCCCTGCAGCCTGTAGACTTCTGGCGCGGCCGAGGATCCACTCGGGACGTCCCTTGACACAACCTGGACGGGCAGCTCCTCGTAGTACCCGCCGAAGACCGAGCGGAAGGCGGCAGCAAGGACCCCCTTGCCGTTGTTACCCTCCTCTCCCAAGTCAAACACAGAGTTCTTGTGGCTAACACCAAGAGAAGCGCCAAGGGCCTTCATGGTCCGGAAGACCGTTGCCTGCCACCCACCATGCTCCTCCGGATGTGGGCACTCCGCCTGGTCGTACCGGGGCGTGAAGCTGTTGTGCATCAGCTGGAAGAACCGGAGGTGTGGAACCTTGTTGGTGAGCAGCTCAAGCCTCCTGCGGATGGACTGAGGGTACGTGGCGATCTCGGTGTTCAGCGGGTTGGCCTCCCACTTGGCGATCTTCCGGAAGACCTCCAAGCAGCTCGTCCCGAGCTCTCGCTCCTTCGCAGCGATCGCGTCCAACTGCTCCTTCGGATACGTGTAGTCCAGGCGGCGCTTGATGCACTGCTGGGCCAAGGCGGATCCGACCTCGCCGGTCCGGATGTTGAGGGTGGTGCCGCACGCAAACGTGATGAACTGCCAAGTGTCCTCGCCATCCACCCGCTCCAGGAACCTTCCATCGAACAGCGGCTGAGCCAAGCGGGTTGCAATGTTGCGGGTCAGCATGCCGGTCACAAACGCATCAGGGGCGCTCAGCACCGCCACCCCTGTCAGGCTGCACAACGCCCGCACCATGTCGCACTCAAGCTCGTCATCGATCTGGCCATGTGACAACTCCCACACCATGCCATTTGGGAGAGCCTTGGATTTGAAGCAATCCAAGGCTTTGCCAGCGCACGGCAAGGTTCTGCGGCAAAGACAGATGTTTGAGAGCAGTCCCTGGGGGCTCTTTTCTCCCTCCCAATCCAGTTGTTGCGTCATGTGTGGGAACAAGAAGAAAAAAACAAGTGTCGAAGCTTAGACAAGGCACTTGTACTTGTCTCTTAGCAGCACACCAGGCTGGAGCAGTCGCGTTGAGAGAGTCCTCGCCAACCAAACCACTGGCGGACTGCGATCCGGATCCTTCAGTCGCCGCGCACACTGGATAGCGTACTGCTCCTGCTCCTCCCACATGAAAACTGGCGGCAGTCTGGCCGTGCGGGCCAGGGTCTGCAGAAGCTCGGCCCGAGGGCGATAGGGCTTGTAGGCAAAGCGGTTGCCGAGGGCCTCCTCGATGTGCTCCCACGTGGATGTGGGATGTCGCTCGATGACCAGGCCGTCGAGCTCGTAGCAACGCACTCTGGCGATGCGCTTGATGCGCTGCACGGTCGAGTCCAAGTGGTAGCGCTCGAACTCGCTGTTCAGGACGTAGCACACTGCGTCTTTGAGCGCCTGCCCCTCCCGGCTGGCCAACTTCCTTGCCAGCTCCGGGAATCTCTCAACGTCCAACTCCATGCCCGCCTTGATCTCCTGCCAGTACATCCGCAGCGGCTTGGGGAGGGTTGCCACACCAGTCTCATCGCACCATGCCCCTTTCTCCAAGCCCCATGCACCTGTTGATAAAGCTTTTCGCCACACTGCGGGGCATGCCTGGCAGGTCCACAAAGGACCCGTTAACCCATCTGCCGACCCAAAGCAGTGAGGGGCGCCTCTCCAAGAAGGCGGTTGGGAAGTCGCCGTTCTCCAGCCCACCACGAAGCAACTCCTTCACATCCTTGCTGTATATGTGAAGGCGGACCTCATAGCCTGACGAGCATTTGAAACCAAGGCTGTCCTTTTGTTCTGCGCAAGCGTCAGAAGATTGTCCCCCCCCCCTCCGGAGCCTCCAGAGGCAGCATTCCGCTCAAGCACCTGACAGCAGGCCTGCCGCAGAGAAGCAAAGCCCTGCACATGCTTGCGGTTGTCAGCAAAGCGGGCGTCGGCGTACAATGACAGGGGCATCTTGCCCAGCTCCGCAACAAACACAGGGTCGATGAAATCAGAAATCTTGAAGGAGACACAAGAATCCGTGAGGACAGGCTTGGCCGGCTTGGCTTTGGACTTTCCCTTGGCCCTTGGCTTAGGCTGCCGATCTCTGCTCGTCTGGCCACCGGCGTCCTGGGATGTGGACTCATGCAACACTCATGTTGGGCTCACGCAACACTCATGCTGGACTCATGCATAGCTCACGAAGAAAAAAAGGATCCCTGCCTGGCCGCAGCGCCCTCCCCCGCCGGCTCTGTCCGACGGTTCCTGACACGGAGAGTGCGATCACAAGGCTCATGCCGCACTCATGTTGGGCTCATGCAACACTCATGTTGGGCTGGTGCTGGACTCATGTACAGCTCACGAAAAAAAAAGAATCCCTGCCTGATCGCACCGCCCTCCACCGGCTCTGTCCGACGGTTCCTGTCACGGAGAGTGCGCTCACAGAAGGCTCAGCTGGCAGGGGGTCATGTAGCGCTCACGTGGCACTCATGCTGGGCTCGTGTGACACTCAGGATCCGTGCGCAACTCATGCTGCAGGAAATGAAAAGAAACGCGCCTGACTACCGCCCCGAGCAGCTCGCCTCAGGGGGTTCCTGGTGAGGGTGCTCATTCATGCAGGACCCGTGAGGGATTCACGTTAGATGGCTAATGTCAAGAAGCCCGGTTCCTCCACCCGCCCCGTAGACACCGCCGGCGCTGCCGTCCCTCCTGCGCCAGGGACGCTTCACAACCACGCGCCAACCTACAGCTCCCTCTCCTCCCGCCCTGGCTCCCGAAGCTGTCGCTTCTAGTGGCCGTACCTGAGATGAGACCGTTGCAGCGGAACTGTCGGAACCCCCCCCCGCCCCACCCGCCCCTGCCTGCAGTTGACACGTGGGCCTGGTCGAAACATGTTCTGGTGCAGATCTTGGCGGCGAGCAATCAGATGACTTTGAAGGTTGAAGTGGAGAAGGGGTTCCATGTGAACAGCAACTGGTCATGGGTTAGTGGATCCCAAAAGAGGGGGATGTTTCCACAGTGCGCTGCGTCCAAGACAAATTGAGATTGAGCATGCCGCGGGAGCCATTTTGGCAAGGACAAACCTTGAGGTGGGTAGGGGGCGAGGCTGTTTCTCGCGACTTGGAGGCTTGGAAAAACACACATGGGGGTTCGATGCCTTGCTCACAGAAAAACAACATGTTTGTGGTTGCGAGGTCTGGGAGCTTGGCGGCCACCATTGTTCAGGGTCAGGAGCCAAGTCCGGATCCAAAATCAAGCCATAGAAAGCCCATAGGACAAGAGGAAGACATCTGTTCCCAGTCATGAAGCGTGGACCAGAACCGAAACGTGGACCAGAAAGGGGTGGGGGTTCAGGGTCCGACCACGTGGGCTGTGGACCAGAAAGGGGGGGGGGTTCAGGGTCCACCCATAAGTTTCTGTAAGTTCCTTTAAGGGCAGCTCCCTCTCCCTCAGCCGCCTCAATCCACGCAGGCGTCAAACGTTCTACTGGCCAAATCCATGCCAAAACCAAGCAAATGTCATGCCATGCAAAATCGTGCAAAACGAGCTGTTACTCCGGCCCGTATATAGATATACGGGCTGGAGTAATACCATTTTTCAGCGCAAAACCGTGCGAAAAAGCTATTCTCCCCGGCCATACGTGCACGTATGACCGGGGAGAATAGGAATTGGAAAACCGTGTAAAAAAGCTATTCTTCCCGGCTGTAACTTGCGCTGGACACGATCGTGTCGAAATTTAAGCCCACAATCCTGTGCGACTACACGACGTTTCCGCCGTGGCACTTCGGTCTGCACGGAATGTGCTCAGCGCCCTTAAGATCCTTGCGCACTTTGACCCGCTAATGTGGGTTGTTGAGAACCCGGCTGCTGAAGACCCGGCCGTTCATGGAGCGCCTGCCCGGTGAACGTGACCTGCTGCAAGTACGGAACTCCGTGCAGGAAGCAGACGCGGCTGTGGACCCTTCAACTTTGTTTTTGAAGTTGAGTGGCAGTGCCACATAAATGACAAAAAAATGCCCGCTGCCCTTCAACGCCGTTTTTGGCTACAAGTGGCAGCGCCCAAAAAAATGACAAAAAAAAGGCCCGCTGTCCCTCTTAGCCTTTTTTGGTGTTGAATAACACCGCAAAAAACATGCAAAAACACGGAAAAATGGGCTTTGTTCCAGGCCCCTTGGATTAGAGGAAGCCAGAACGGGCTAGTCCGGAATGCTCAGCCGCTCCACAAGCTCCGCCGTGGCCGCGCGCGCAATCTTGTCGCAGCGCAGCAGGAACGCTGTAGAGCAGCTTGCGTGACTGGCTGACCCTCCTGGCAGCCGCTGCGGCGCGTGGCAGGACGGCAGGCACCTCCGCGCTGCGCAGCGGGCCCCGGCTGATGGAGGGGCAGTGGCCTGCACAGCTCTTGCCTCGGCCTTGGCAGGCGCTTTTTGGCGCTAGTCCAGCACAGAGACGCCCGTGCCGGAGAGCGTCACCAGCTGGTAGGCCACCAGGTGGATGAACAGGTCCGTCATCGTGCCGTCCAGGCCCTTAAAGGAGAACCGGGCAAGGTTGCCCAAGCGGGCGCTGACACCACTTAGTGGCATCTTGGGCACGCGCTTGGTCGGAAAGCCGGCAATGAAGCTGTGGCGCAGGTAGCCCACGCGGCCAATGTCAATGTTGCGCGCCGTGTTGTTGTAAGTGCCCGCAAGGACCGAGAGAAAGTGGAAGTGCTCCGAGGCTTACAGGAGAGGCCCCAGACGGCGGCCCCAGACACAAAACAGTTTCTAACTCTCACTTTGGGAGTCTAAACAACAACCGCTTCCCCATCAGTCACTGCGCAACTCCGACTCGCGATGGAGGGCCTGGGCCTCACCAGCAGCTGCTTTTGCTTTTGGAGCAACTTTGGCTTTTGGAGGCATGGGCGACGAGAACACAATTACACTGAAGCGTGTGGCAGAGTAACGCTGCGGGCTCAAAACAGATGCAGGCGGACAATCAACACACACAGCTCTTCCCCCCGCCCCCCTGGCGAGCAATGTTGAGGTTTGTGCGCGAAGAGGACAGGCAAGCGGCCCAACAGCCTGGGCGAAAAACAAAAAAGCAAAAAGGGCGTAGCAACTGCTAGGTGACAAGCTGCAGTCCATCAACATTGCTTGGTTGGGGTAGAGGGGAAGGAACAAAGACAAAAAGGCTCACTTCCAAGGTCCGAGCGGAGCAGCGTGAGAAGCAAGCGTTCTCTTCCACCTCAGAGCCTCAGAACAGGTTGAGGCAAGCTTGCCAGTTCCGAACAAGCTAGCGCACAACCGTTCTATGTCAAATCCAAAACCAGCTGAACGGTCAAAGCACCCTGTCTGTGCTCAGAGCCGCGCCAATTGGGCCCTGCAGGCCTGGCCACAGAGGGCGCGTGTGTGGGAACGGCTGCACGGCACCCAGGGCAGAAACCGGCAGGTTCGAAGTGACATGTTTCTTGCAACAACTGCAAACTTTGCGCCGACTAAAACATGCAACTTGAAATAGCCAGGACAGCTGTCCTTGCTCAAAGAACTGGCACGGACACATCTCAGTCTTGAATTGCTATGTTAAGCGGCTCAGCACCTTGCGAGCCTGTAAAGGCCTCAACCCAAGCTCATCAACCAAGTCTGCTTCTGACAAGGACGCCAGCATGCGGCCATCCACCGCGTTTTCTCGAAAAGCTGCCACCACATGTCCGAGCTCCAAGTTTGTGATGAATTTGCAAACGTCATCTACAGCCCAAGCCAAGCAAAGCATTCTCTTGGCATCAGGTGTCTCGCCCGATGGTGTGGCCTCCCTTTTCGCAGTTTCAGGACGGGGGGCTCTCGTCTGCCCTGACTCCAACAGGAACG